TCTGTGGTCGGGTGAGACAACCACACTCTACACACTTTCCTTGCAAACACTGCTATAAACAACGGAAGTGATTGAGAACGTTATAACTCAATGTGTATGCGCGACATATTTGAAGGTCAATCTGTGCCGAGTGGGTTCACTTTGCATACTTTAGCTCCATTATCATAGCAACGGTCCCGGTGATTTTGATCAGGCATCGTATTCACTTCCCATAAAAAGGACGTACATTTATCTCTTATTTCCCCAGTGATAGATTAAACAGCAAGCGAGAGTGCGCTTTGGATCTTTGGATGCAAGATAGTCTTGGAGAAAAAAACTCTAAATCCGAAAAAATAAAAAGATAATTCTGTATCTGTCTATATTTCTGAGATGAGGTATTATGTACATTATTTACATTATTCGAACTATTGTCCTCATCTTTGTTGCCATATTTATTACAACGTTTTGGCCGATGTACGCTCCGGTCTTCTTTAGGTGGTTGGGATGTCGAACTGAACCCTTTATATAGCTCACTGTGGTAGACTGTTCTAATTCCACGTGCCATGTATAATGGATGTCAGTTATCTAAAGTTAATTTCCCTCTGAAAGTTCTCCACTGCCTTAACTGGGTATTGAACTCACACTCTTTGGCACGGTGGATAAAGGCGTTGGTTAGATACAGTGACAGGACCCAAAGAGTGTGAATGTAAAATTCAGACACCAGTTAAAATAACCTTGACCTATATTTTAAAATATGAAGATCTAGCTTCTATAACGAAAATTACTAACAGAAAAATAACATTTTAAAATTAAAGAAAGAGTAATTAAATCGTAGCATCTAAAATAATTAATATGCAAATAATAATACATGTAATATGATAACTAAAATAATAATAAATGAAATAATTATTAAAGTCAAGTTAAATTTAATAAAATATTATATATTAAATATAAATCAATTGGTATTAAATGTAAACAAATATATAAAATTAAAACAATATATAATTGAAATATAAGTTAATTATTAAATATAAATTAATATATAAAATCATTTAATAAATTCAAATTCAAATTAATTATTAAATATAAAATAATTTATTACTATATATATATATATATATATGTGTGTGTGTGTGTGTGTGTGTGTGTGTGTGTGTGTGTGTGTGTGTGTGTGTGTGTGTGTGTGTGTGTGAGAATTTCTCCGATTTAATCGGTAGAGAAGACAATATTTACGAATAAAAAATGACAATAGGAAAACTGGTAATTGCTGATGCGTTTCGTCAATGTGGACTTTATCAAAGCAAAATACGAAAATGAAATTAAATGAACAAAGTAACTAATAAAAACAAAACAGAATGTACCTAGCAACTGGAATGTAGAGAAACGCTATTTTCATATTTTAACTGAAAAATAACGTCAGAGATTGTCACGTGGAGAATATTGTCATTATATCTGTGTTGATGTATTCAGCCATTTTCTTTCGATTTTACGAATCTGTTTGAGCATTAATTTATGAGCGCAAAAGAGACCTCACAAAAACAATTTAGCTAATGCAATAGTCATACATAGAAATAAATACAACCATAATTTTGATTTTAAAAATGCTACACTCATAAAAAAAAAAAGAAAAAATAACTCACTCAGAAGGAAAATTCTGGAGATTGCTGCCATGAAAATTATCCAAATATTAATTTACGCCCAGGCTTTTTCCTCATTTCAGCTCTCTTAACAAAATTAATGCTCTTACAAACAAATATGCACAACAGATTCATAAAATCGAAAGAAAATGGTTGAATACATCAACACAGATATAATGACAATATTCTCCACACGTGACAATCTCTGACGTCATTTTCATTTAAAAATATGAAAATAGCGTTTTTCTACATTCCAGTTGCTAGGTACATTCTGTTTTTGTTTTTATTAGTTACTTTGTTCATTTAATTTCATTTTCGTATTTTGCTTTGATAAAGTCCACATTGGACGAAACGCGTCAGCAATTACCAGTTTTCCTATTGTCATTTTTATTCATAAATACATATATATATACATAAATACATTTAAGTAAGATTGAATATTAAAAATAATTATAAACTTGTTATTAAATATAAATTATAAATATTAAATTATAAATATAAAATTATAAATATAAATTAAAAAATTTATATATATGTATATATATATATATATATATATATATAAAATTTATAATTTATATTTTAATTTTATATTTATATATATATATATATATATATATATATATATATATAAAATTTATAATTTATATTTATAATTTTATATTTATAATTTAATATTTATATATATATATATATATATATATAAAATTTATAATTTGTATTTATAATTTATATTTATAATTTAATATTTTTATATATATATATATATATATATATATATATATATATATATATTAACACGGATAAATGAGAGTGATCGGGACCGGAGAAGAAGTCTCTTGTAACCGGGTTTCTCTTATATCCGGGTTTGGTCTATTTTATTTAGGTAAGTAAGGCTCTAATTTGGGACCAGAGAAAATCTCTCTTATATCCGGTTTCTCTTATATCGGGTCTCTTATATCCAGGTTATACTGTATATATATATATATATATATATATATATATATATATATATATATATATATATATATAAATTATAATTTATATTTATAATTTTATATTTATAATTTAATATTTATATTTAATAATATATATATATATATAAGATTTATTTTATAGATGTCGTGTTACTGCAGGATGTTGCGCGATCATGGTTATCCACAACTTCCTCTTTTTTGTATATGTAATACCTGTCTCCTTATTTTCACTCCAAATCTTTGTTCTGATCTCCATTTATGGAAGCTTATTAAATGTATTACTCAATGTTTTCACTCTGCCTCTCATGATTATATTTTTTAGGAGTGTCAAATTTTCCAAGCCTACTTTCTTCAACATGTGAATCGGAAATTTGAAATTTATCTTCCTAGTTTTAATTATAAATGTGTGCTTATTTGTCTCGTTTCCCTTTTTGCTTAAAACTTCCTCATCGCTCACATGTTCCATCCATGGTATAATCAGATTCCACTTCTCTAAATTCACAGTTCGCTTGACTCAAAACTCTTCTTTATTTGGGAGCAAATTTTCTCCAGTATTCACAGAAGGATACAGAAGTATTACTATTACATATCAGTCCAGCAATCTTTTGTTTGGTTCCTATGTAATTTTCCTGTCTCTTAATACTTTGTTTAAATTTTGGAAGGCGTCTTTCGCTGGCTATCCAAAATGAAATACTTGTTCTCTGATTTGAAATCTCTATTTTAAGTCTCTTTAAAAAAAGGAATAAAAAAGAATATTGCGTGCATTTGTATTTATTTGTTGTAAGACGCACCCACGCATGTGGCTAATTCTACAGATTTGTGCGTATTTACAAATACGTGCATATATTCACATGCATCTCTATGTTCTTAGGTGCATGTGAGTGTCTGTGCACATCTCCATCGCACGTTCGGAAGAAATGTAACTGCAAATAAGAGAGTGATTGAAAAAAGAAGACTTGCGTAGGATGAATAATTCAATATAAAGGAAATAATAATAACTGATAGCTCAATTTTAATACCGCAGACGGGTGGCTGACAAAGTTTCCTACCGGTATCATGCGTTGGTGTTCGAGTACATATAAAAGGTGGGATTTATCTTTAAGTTCGTTAGGCAGACCGCTCTTTCTAACTTGGAAAACTGGTAAAGATTAATCTTCCAATTCCCATTTCTCTAGTTATTTTTTTTTTTGTGTGTGTGTGCTATTCTAATCTGTTTCAAATAAGATACGCATACATCGATAATTTTGTTAGCAATATATGATATTATCACAAATATTCACCGATGCAGACATATTTAAATTTCGATTTTAATTTTTAAAAAAATGCTTATCATGTTGATTTTTCTAAGCGTATCTCAGATGTGGCATAAGGCCGAAAATGTTGGGCACCCTCAACTCACTCACAATTCTAGCGAGACAAGTTTGCTAACGATGTCGGGGATTCATCTACTTTTCTTAAATACAAACTCTCGATTATTCCAGCAAATATTAAATTATATTTTTGTACTAATTTTTTAGTGAAAAGAAATTAAACACAGTCAATGATCGGACATCGCTGAATCGAGAACTTTTAGTATTTGTACTAAATAAGCTACTAACATAGAAAGTAGATTATCAAAGTTATTTAAGATAAGTCTGGCATATTAACATAATATTGGAACGCCGTATGAGTGTCGAATTATCTACACTTGGGTATACAGGGCCAGTTAAAACACGCGTTCACGCGAAATAGTCATCTGCTGTCTCTAGTGGGTTAGACCCTTTTTTCACTTACAACTGGTTGCCTCAATCTGCATCCTAACCCCTACAAAGTGTAGCTTTTCAACAGACAATTTTCAAGGCTTCTCGCTAGTATGAATATTGAAAAAAAAAACGACTCATTTATTTCTATTCTATGACTACCAAGTTAAGAAAGCACTTACATTGCTTACTGTTTTGAAGTAGTCCCCCACCAGATTAATTTTTCTCAACGTTGCTTAACTCCGAGGAATATGCACATTTCGATACTTACAGCGTGATCCAGCTAAATTTAGGCTTTATTGTTTATATATGCACTTGTATATAATAGCACGTGTCTTTTGTAACGTGTGAAACGCGAACAGTCTTTTTTTATGTATTGAAATGTACTCCTTACACAAGGAAAACAAATCGAAATCAGCAAAACTGATGTCGAACAAGTCTTGATGTTTTTAAAAGGTTTTAAAAAAGGGTTATCTAACAGCGGGGGGGGATGGAAAGGAAGGAAAAAGATTGGAGAATAGTAGGAGAAGGCGGTGGAAAGTGAGAGCGAACCGAGGCTAGGTGAAAGGATGAAGTTATTGCTTCTTGGGAATTAATGGGGTTGCCGCTCTATAGCTCTAGCAGAAGTGGTTAGGACATAAACTTCGCTATGCGGTTATAAACTATACAGGCAATTCCAAGCTGCTGGTTTGGTGGGGACTGATTGGCTGGGAAGTAAATAAAAGAAAGGAAGAGATGAAGAAAAATAGGCGAGGTGGAATAGACGTATTTGTTTTTGTTGTTATTGTAGCATTGGTAGACGGTAGAATATATGAGCGATTACAAGTGTAGGAAAGAGAATAAAAAGCAAGTAAAACAGTTTGAAGAGGGGGGATAGTAGTGGGTGTTAGGTTGGTGATAAAAAAAAAGAGGAAAAGAGAGGAAAATTTTGAAAAAATAAGAAAATGAAAAATAAATGTCCTGTGCCCTATTAACAGTGTCAAACAGAATATATAAAGTAAGTTTAGAAGAAGAAGAAGAAGAAGAAGAAGGAAGAAAGAAAGAAAAAAAAGAAAGAAAGAATCTGATAAATGAAAAGAAAATAAGAAAGTTCATAAGTCACAATGAGACAAGCGGGTGTTTCTTATTGAATAAAGCAAATTGATGATAAGCAAATGTTAAAGTTAACATAAAAAATTCATACATGATTTGCAGTATCGCACATGATTATAATAGTAATAATAATAGTAATAGTGATAATAATATTAGTAATATTGATAATAATAATCGTCATACTAATATTAGTAATGATAAAAATAGTTATAATAATAGCAACAGTGATAATAATAGTAATAATAATAATAGTAATGATAATAATGATAATAGTAATAATAATAATGATAATAGTAATAATGATAATAGTAATAATAATAATGATAATAGTAATAATAATATTACTTATAGTGATAATAATAGGAATAGTAATCTTAGCAAGGATAATAATGTAAATAATAATAGTAACAGTGATAATAATAATATTTAATAATAATAATAATAAAAAGTAATAATGATAATAGTAATAATAGTAATAATAATATTAGTAATAGTGATAATAATAATAGTAATATTAGTAATGATAATAATAGTAATAATAACAGTAATAGTGATAATAACAAAAGTAATAATAAAAATAATAGTAAAATAATAATGATAATAGTAATAATAATAGTAATAATTATAGTCATAGTAATAATAATAATGATAATAATAATAACTAACTGGTACGAACATCAGCCAAAAGCATTAAGGGAAGAGGTAAATATATTACTGTGCTCCGGGATATAGATGTAAATAGAGGTTATCAACATGTTGAACAAACCGGTTAGATTTATCAATTGTACGAGGAAATAAGTATTGACTTTTACTTGATATGATTGTTCCATTTGGTCGAATATATCTTTTAAAAAAATTTCAGAAATTTCATAAATATGAAGATCTTGAAAATAAAATCGAAAAGCTGTGACCTTTAAACTCACAGACGGTTACTGTTAATTTTGTCTCAATGGGATTGTGCAAGAAAGGCCTTTCTTTCCATGAAATCCGAAAAAAAAAGTTTGCTTACAAGCATTGTCATTCTAAATTCTTCAATTGTTTGGCAATTACAATAGTAAGTGTAGTTTTCATAAAAGAAACACTCGGTATTCATTGACCGAGCTACCAGTGCTATTTTCGGTTGAAATCTTAAAATCTTTCTTCTAAAACAATATTTCTGGAAAATAAGTTTCTTAAGTTCAGTTATTGTTTCTCTCTCGAGTTTTGATGGAGTGTCCCTAGCTAAATATTTGTTTGATGTAGGATAGAAAGCCACTATATTATGTCATTATTTTCTCATCGAGTGACATGTTCTATCCATTTAAGCTGTTGCTGTTGTCAGACAATCCTCAAGTAATGGGATTTCTGTTATTTCGTAAAATTCTTTGTGCTTCTGTAGTGCCAGTTCACAAGGTTCAAAGAAGTCTTCACAAAAGCTCACAGTTTTCACTCACTCAAACCCATTTTAAACAGATTTGAGAATGCGTTTTTATAGAGCGGACAGTTATGATATTTCTGAACTGATTTGGTACCAAGCAGGAAGTCTCGATCCGTCATGACTCGAGTTTTCTAGTTAATCTTTTGGATCTGTAGGAAGTTGTGGTGTTGTGGGAAACGCCCACCACCTCAAATTGCTACAATTCAGGCTATTCTATGTCAATATTTTTATCTCGTGTATTAAATATGTTTAAGTATTTGAAGTGTTTTGTAAAGGGTGTTCCAATAATTTCGACCGATTTTAAATATGAAATAGTTTAAGTGTCTTTTTCTTTTTCTTTCAGATTTAACAACTTAAGATTTTGGCAATTTCAACAATGGAAAGATTAACAATCAAACAACGTGTTAAATTTATCGAAGCCTATTACGAAAATGGACGTTCAAACAGAAATGCATTTCACGTACTTCACGATTGTTTTGGTCAACAGAATCGAGCAACCGAAAGGACAATTGGAATAATTGTTCGTAAATTCAATCGAACTGGGTCGGTGTCAATTATGGAAACATCACTGCGTGCTCGTTTACGGCGTTCAGCTCAAAATATTGCTGCAGTGCACGTGAATGTGGCCGAAAATCCAGACACCTGTATTCGTCATCGCGCACTGGAATTGAACTTCTCTACAACAGCGTTACATCGAATTTCAGCAAAAGATTTGTCTCTACACTTTATTTGCTAATTACACATCGTGAATTTATATAATGGATTCAGAGTAGCAGCCCTAAGTGATTTCATTCCAATTCCACATCAGATTTATGATTTGGAAATGTTTATATTGAGTTCCCTTTCTTGGACCACTTGGTAGAGGACGTTGAATTCCTGTTCAGTTTACAAACTTATACCAAAGATGAATGGCTATATCTTCGGACATTAATGTTCGATAGATCGATGTCTCCATGTTTATTTTCACTGTTTAGGTTCTCAAGAGGAGACATTAATAAAAAAAAGTTCATCACTGCCAGTGATGCCTTATAAAATGTAATACTGTTTCTTGTTTAGTATGAAAAAGGAACCTACAAAGAAAATACTGTATTTTAACAATAAACTGAAAACAGGCAGAATAATATCGTGATTCATGTGAAATGAGCGATTTAAAATGTTCTGTGTGTCTATACATCCGATTTTCTGAAGCCAGGATCGAAAACCGGCTGATGTGCTATCAGTCGGAGATTCTACTCCTAAGCTCCTAAGGCATTGGCGTACGGATGGAGATGAATTTAGATGTATTTCATTTTAGATAAATCTGCTAGTGACCGGAGATCTCGATTCGTCTTAACGAAGGCTCTTTCACACACACACACACACACACACACACACACACACACACACACACACACACACACACACACACACACACATTAATATATATATATATATGTTTTTAGCAGATATTTTAAATAGAAATTATAATCGGAATCATTAAGGTGAGCAATTATGTTCTGAGTATGCTTTTTTGAAAAACGATCTATATTGTGTTCATATAAAATTTTATATAACTGACTCACCTATGAATTCTTCATGTCAAGGATCACAGTCTATAGCGTAGATTCTTACTTCCGGTTTTATCTTATTATTTTTTTTATATTAAATAAATTATTTTTTTTTGTTTTAGAACATGTAACAAATTTCGTGTTATGTATAGTTACATTATTAAGAATTGTAACTGCGATAGAGTTGGCAGCTAGATTGATCGACATCGTTTTTGTGGATTTGCTTGAATTGTTTATTATATTTTATCCTGAAATATTTATTGAGCTTTGTGCTTCGCGTTGAATATGAAATAATTATGTTATTGGGGGAGCTTAAATGTATTTTCAATAGTATATCTCATCATCAAGTAAATTTTGAAGGTTATAAAATTAAGTTTTTTATTAAATTGAAGCTGTTAATTTCTGATTTTTATTTGGTTTTGTGGTAAGAAGAGAAATTTATGAGATCACTTTTATTAGTTGCGATAAACACTTATATAGAAATAAGATATTTTTATGTTTATACATTCTTTTTATAGATACAAATAATTAAGTAAATGCTCTGTCTATAATAAACAGTATTAAACAACATTTACTGGCCTGAATGTCCAAGAAATATTCATAGAAAAATTTCGTCCCCCGATAGGAATCGAACCTGCATCCTATATGGAACCGTCAAATAGCCTGACGTGCCTTTAACCGATTTGGCCACAGAGGAGCTTTCGCTTAGCAATGTCGAATTTACTGCCTTTAAACTACAATCTTCCATGAATCTCTCACGTACATTCATATCTGCATAAAGCGCATCCAAATGTAAACAAATGACGTCACACATTATGAATTGTTCAAAGTCCGACAATTATTTTAAGACATATAAAAAGAATTTATGAACATAAAAAATGTCTTAAAATAATTGTCGGACTTTTTCCATGTATATGTATGTATGTATGTATGTGTGTATGTATGAGGTCTAATAGAAAAGCAACAGAACTGAAGTCACAAAATATTCAGGCCAAATCCAAGATACAAATTTTCCCATCTGAAATTATCCATTCCGAATCTAACGTACTTCACCATCCGTCTCTGCCTTCATGCATTCCTGGAAGGAGTCTCCGCAGCTTCATCATCACGGTTTTCTTGATGTCTTCCACGTCTGTACGAAGACTGTTCTCACTGCCTAAGAATATCGCGTCACGTTCTAAATTTTTAGTAGTGTTCGCTTATAGTTCACTTTGTTTTAATTGAGTCTACGTATACAATAACCGACCCAAAGATTGAATTCATATTTGCTATGTCACCAAATTCACGAACTAACGCTTTGATATACTAGGCTTTTGTCCCTAGGACAATTCTCTTTGGAGACTAAATCTAACATAACCCCGAAATTCAGACAGAAATTATCAACTTGCTAAGACGTTATGAAAATTCCATAGGCATATCATTTTTCTAAACACTTTCATTCGAGAAATGTATTTTAAAAAATGTTATTTGACATAGTAAAACAAAATCCAACTCATATTTCTTCATCTTAATTCATGCTGCTTTTCGTCGCAAATACCAAACTGCCATTAGTATGCTGTTAAGGAACGGATATATGTATGAGTTTTTGCAATCACAGCCAATATGTTATTTGCTTTAAACGTAGTACTATTGGCATATGCCCGGAGACAAATGCAATACGATTTCGACATTTGCTAGTGGTACATTCTAAATTCTGTTGAAAGTAACAATAAAATACAAAGCATGTTAGGGTGAAATAAACCTCAAGAACACATGGCACAGTGGATAAAGGCGTTGGTTAGATCCAGTGATAGGACCCAAAGAGTGTGAGTTCAATACCCGATTAAGTCAGTGGAGAACTTTCAGAGGGAAATTAACAGGAGATAACTGATAACTGACATCAATTATACATGATACGTGGAACTAGAACAGTCTACCCCAATGAGCGAAATAAAGGGTTCAGTTCGACATTCCAATCACCTGAAGAAGGCCGGAGCGTATAACGACCTAAACGTTGTAATAAATATG